AAAATTCGAAATTTTTATTGTTCATATTTATTGAATTTTGACTTTTCGAATCGATAGAGCGAGTCTAAGTTAGTCGAAAAAAAACTCTTACATCATTATAAAATCTTGATTTCAACAAAGAGAAAAATTAAAAAGAAAATCTCAATTTTTAGGTTTAAATTTTTTTTGAATCCTGACAACGTTAGGAGCAATTGCCAATACTTTTATTAAATTTTGAACAATTCAAAATAAATTATATATGGTTGGAAAGAGCATCAAATTATCTATAAATCAGTGCTAGATTGAGTTTGATAACTCGAATACTTTTAGAGCAATTGAGCCTCAAAGTTGGATTTTAGTTGAAATTTAGTCAAAAACTTCAAACTTGATTTTCTCAAAAACCGTAAATGCCAGCAACTTCAACTAAGAACCATTCCAAAGCTCTCATCAATACTAAAAAAAATTGATCCAAAAACTTTGACGGGCTTCGAGAAAATTGAGTTTGAAAATTTTGAAATTAAAATGAAAAGGGGTTTAGCCCTTTGAAAAAATCGAAATTTTTATTTTTCAGATTTTTTGAATTTTGACTTTCCCAATCGATAGAGCGGATCTAAATTAGTCGAAAAAAACTCTAACTTTATTTCCAAATCTCGATTTCAAAAGAGAAAAAAAAATCAAAAAGAAAATCCTAATTTTCAGATCTAAATTTTTTAAAAATTCTGACAGGGTTAGAAGCAATTGCCAATGCTTTCATTCAATTTTGAGCAAATCAAAATAAATTACATATGGTTGGAAAGAGCATCAAATGCTCTATAAATCAGTGCTAGATTGAGTTTGATAACTCAAATACTTTTAGAGCAATTGAGCCTCAAAGTTGGATTTTAGTTGAAATTTAGTCGAAAACTCGATTTTCTCAAAAACCGTAAAAGCCAACGACTTCAACCAAGTACCATTTTAAAGCCCCCATCAAGGGCTACAATCTCAAAAAAAAATGATCCAAAATCTTTGATGGGTTTCGAAAAAATTGAGTTTGAACATTTTAAAAAAAATATATAAAGGTACCCCTTTGGAAAAAAATTAAAAAACTCAAAATTTCCATTTTTTAGATTTTTGCAATTTTGACTTTTTTAATTGATAGAGCGAGTTCAAATTAGTCGAAAAAAACTCTAACATCATTACAAAATCTTGATTTCAATACAAAGAAAAATTAAAAAGTAAATCTCAATTTTTAGGTTTAAATTTTTTTAATCCCATCAAAGTTAGGAGCAATTGCCAATACCTCCATTAAAATTTGCACAAATCAAAATAAATTATAAAAAGTAGGAAAGATCATTGAATTCTTTATGAATCAGTGCTAGATTGAGTTCCATAACTCAAATACTTTTCGCACAATTGAGCCTCAAAGTTGTTTTACTCGAAATTTAGTCAAAAATTTCAAACTCGATTTTCTCAAAAACCGTAAATGCCAGCGACTTAAATTGAGTACCATTTTGAAGCCCTTATTAAGAGCATACATGTTTCCAAAGCCTACTTGGTTTGATATAAGCCCGTAAGGCGAGAATTTTCCTGTAAAATCAACTTTCAAGATTTTTGGCGTGATTTTTTTTTTTAAATCTGGTGATTTTTCATTCCAATTTCTGGTGAATTTAATTTTTTTGACCTGGCAACAGTGATTAAGGCGCAGTTTATTCATCTTCCGATAAACTTACTATGGTAACTGTTCACTAAACAAGTATTAATATACGTACCATATACTACTATCCGGCCGATAGGACTATAGATTGCGCTTTTATCCGTCAGTTTTCTTTGCCTTATGGAAAGGAAAACAAACCGCCATTTAGTTGCATCTTGAAGTACATACGCGACTTTTTCCCGAACTTAAGTAGAGGTCACCGTAGCCAACGTAAATCAGACGTTTTGAAATAGGCGTATCTACTATTAGAGATATTTTCACTGAATTACAAAAAAAAGATTTCTCAAATAAACTTAGTTAAACTCAAATATGTATGATATTTTCCAAGATGTACTAATGAAAATTATAATGAAAATAAGTCATGCGAGGAAACTAAGCTATCTAAGCTCAGGTGACTTAAACAAAATGGTAATTAATACCCTCTCCTCAATCCGGAATAAATTCTCCCAACTGGAAAAATGGACCATATATAAGATAACCGAAAAGATATCCTTAAGTCTTCTCATTGTCAGTAGACAATATCACGGATATGATACAATATGGAGCCCGCCATTACGTCACTATATAAGTCGATTGGCATTGTGGCTCGTCTTTTGTTCTTTAATATTAAGGACGAGTAGATCTCTATGCCACTTGCCGAACAAAAGCTGACTTAAGAGGCCTCTGGTTTTTGTTAAGGCCACAATGAAATATATGGTTTAATTAGTATTGTGGGGGCTAAATTTTTGTTTATAATGGCTTTGTGATTGTTAAAACATAATAAAACATCGAAAAGCTAATTACGCCAGAGATAAACATCATCTAGGCCATTAAAATTTATCCTCTGCAGTGGCAATAAAATGTTTGCATTGTCCATTTAATTTAATTAAACAATTTGCATTTATATATCTAAATCTGCGACTGGTTGGTTGATGGTTGTTGGTTGCATATTCCATATACAACCCACGTACTATTTAATTTAGTTATATAACCTCGTAACCGCAGGAATCATTGACCTAGCCTTTTAGTATTTATAAAAGGCAACCTCATTAATATAACGTTAACAAATGCAAATCATTAACAAATGATAATTTTGATAATAAACAATTGAAGTCACGTAGTGATAAGGACGTAAATAAATTATCACAGCGGGGCCTTTCAGTTAATCATATTCTACTTAGTTGATTTGCAGCTACCCTACTGGGAAAATTTTATTAGAATTTTCCTGTAATATTGATAGATTCAATAATTCAGGAGGTCTAAAATTTGCCAATTATAAGGAAGCAAAACAAATTTTCTTGAGTTTCAACAGTCAATTGAAATATAAATAATTGCCTTGTTATTGAAAATTTAAGGAAGAAATTTGAATAAACCTAATTGTCAAAATAAAATCCATAATATTATTTCACAAAAGCTAAATTTAAATTGCGGAATGTTTTAATTATGACTGCTGGTCGTAGGAGGTCCGAAAATATCCGCAATAACAGCATTTTCATTTAACTTAATTAACCAACTTTGTGGATTTTGTACGAATTAATTGCCAACACGTGTCAACCCGACGAATTGCTCCCGACTTTTCGAGGTTTAATTTAAGATACGTGGGTGAACAAACTGCATGTTTTATTAGCTTTTCTCAATTATTATTTCTCTCTCTACCTATTACCCACATGTGCGATCTAATTTTATTTAACGCCACTGTTCAAAAAGCAAAAAAAAATGGTTTAGCAATTACATATTATTAAAAATTATGCTTTAATACCATATCAATGTGCATGGCATTTTACTTGTTTTACGCTCTAGAATCTCGAATAATTATTTTCTAAAATCTTATTTGTTCTTCCTGTTTCGACTTTAATTTCTAGACGCATGATCATTTTGAACAAACTCCAGTATTATTTTCTTTGTTGTTAGCGAATTGGTTGCGGAAAACTCGGTAATTTTCTATAATTGCTTTTATGGTTGGCTTGACTACAAAGTCGTCTCTTTTGCTATTTAATATGTCTCGAAATTCGATATATAGTATGAGACAATTAGATGTCATAGGTATAATAGGTATAATGATTTTCGAATATCTTTTTTCGATGTTAGTTTTTCAAAGTGTACATGATCGGTGATCTGGCACCTCGAACTACAGTAATTTAGAACCACTCTTCTTTTCTTCTTCAAGTGCCTATCCGTTCCGGATATTGGCTATCAACATGGCTATTCTTACTTTGTTGATGGCGATTCGGAAAAGTTCTACTGTTGATTTGTCAAACCACGTTCTAAGATTTGCTAGCCAAGATATTCTCCTTCGGCCAGGTGCCCGAAATACTGAAGTTTCCGACATTTTATGGTATCTTACAGTTCTAGTTCTTTATTCATCCGACGCATTACTTCTATGTTGGTAATTTTCTGTGTCCAAGATATTTTCAGTATTCTCCTGTACAGCCAGAGTTCGAACGCTTCAATTCTCCTGGCAGTCTCTTTAGTGAGTGTCCAAGTTTCTACGCCATACAGAAGGACCGAGAAAACGTAACAACGCAAGAGTCTCAGCTTCATGTCCAAGGATAGATTATGGCTTTTGAAAAGCGAGCTTATTTTAATAAACACACAGCGGCCCTTTTCGATGCGACATCGTATTTCTCGAGAGTTGTCTCATCTCTCGTTAATGATTGTCCCCAAGTATGTGTACTGCCTTACTCTTTGTATTCTACTGTGATTGATGTATAAACTGTCTTCCGCGATGTTTCTTTTACTTACTATGAGGAGTTCGGTTTTGTCCATGTTCAGTTATTAAGTTTCGTACCGTTTATAGTGATTCCTTCCTCAATACTGTCTAGTGCTTCTCGAAAGATGTATTCTGAGTACACGTTAAATAAGATGGGCGACAAAACACAGCCTTGCCTCACTCCTCATAGTATATTTATTTGTTCTGTGTGACTGCCATCAATTCTCAAAACTCCCGTCTGGTTCCATTATAAGTTTATAATTATTATGTTTAAATCTTTTTGATTCATTCCTATTTGCTCCAGTATGTCGAACATTTTATCGTGTTGGACTCGGTCAAATGCTATTTGATAATCGATTAAGCAAGCATATACATCACAGCTGACATCCCTACATTTCTGAAACAACACCTGAACACCAAATAGAGCGTCTCTGTGGCTTCATTTCCGAAATTGCGGCACTCACCTCGTCCATAAGAATTTCCGGTCCCTCTCCTACAGTTGGTTTTTGTTCTTTGCGTACATCATGGAATATATTCTCTAGATATATTTTCCAGACCTTCTTCTTTTCTCGACATCAATGATGATTTCTCCTGCTTCGTTGACCAAAGGTTTACAGTTGTTTTTGTGGCCTTTCCTTGTTACTTCTCGGACTTTCCTGTGAACAAGTCAACGTGCATGTTTTGATGGTGTTCGATCTCGCGACATTTTTCTTGTAGTTCTTTTTCTTTCGCTTTCCTTATTTCATGTTTTATAATCCATTGTATACGTTTATATTCCGTTGGATTTCCTTTATTTTGCCTTCTTTCTTCCATCAAGTTTAATATTTCTGTCGTTATCCAAGATTTTCTTTTTATTTTGTCCGGTTTCAATATTTCCTTCTTTACTGCTTCTACTGCTTGCTTTAATTTGTTGAGTTCCATATCGGCGTTCATGTTTTCATTTAGTTGAATGTTGTCGTTGTGCATTATTGCTGCTGCTTCCTCTATTGCTGGGGTTTTGAGTCTCTGAAGGTCATAGTTTGGAGTCATCTTAGTGTTGACCTCTTCATTTTCACTTTAAATACACCAACCAAGGGACAGTGATCTGATCCAATGTCAGCTCCAGGATATGTTTTGAGGGATAGGCAGCTATTTCTAACCTCTTATTGACTAACATAAAGTCGATTTGGTTTCTGACTATTCTTCCCGGTTCATCCATAGGTGCTTTCCACGTATATAAGCTTCTTGGCGGCAGTTTGAACCAAGTGTCCATTACTACGAATTCATTTGCTACTGCAAAAACTTCAAGTGTGTCCCCTCTTTTGTTTCTTTCACCTAGTCCATGTGATCCTATAACGTCTGATGTATGACCTTGTCCCACTTTTGAGTTAAAATCGCCCATTACAATTGTGATATCATACTTCTTCAGTTCTTTTAGTATATTATTGACTGTTGTGTACATATTTTCCACTTCTTCATCTTCTTTATCCAGCGTAGGGGCGTATATTTGTATGATGTCCATATCAACCGGACTCGCTCTTACTTGGATGAGTGCTATTCTTTCTGATACGGGTATAAAGGCTGCGATATTTTCTTGTTCAAGGCAAAACCCACACCGTGTTCATGTCTTCCATTCGTAGTGCCTGAAAAGAGAACTCTATAATCCTCGATGTTTATATCACCAGTGTCTGGCCATCTCATTTCACTTATTCCAAGTATATCTATCCTCATTCTTTTCATTTCCTTGATTGTATTGTAAATTTTACCTTGCTGGCTCATTGTTTCTACATTCCAGGTTGCTATTCTTATTTCATCTCTGGTATCGATCGCTCTAATGTCTCTGCTTGTAACTGTCCCTCCCGGAGATCCGATTGAGGGACTTACTCCGGATGTTGATTTAGCAGCAAGCATAGCCATTTTGGTTCTACTAGGACATATCCGTTTTGGATCTTTAATGAGGTGGGTGTCCAAAGTTCTTCCTCATCCTTATGCCGTTGACAGTTCTACTGTTCATCCGCCTTTGGAGCTGGTTTCCCAACTCCAGGACAAAAGAGTGCCCTTCCCTTCTCGACTCTTCCACCCGAAGCTGTTGGTCGACAAGGGTTTTGAAGTTATACCGCCTCGACTCGGTCGCCATAGCCTCGTTTGTTATCTAGCAGTATGTACCACGTGCAGGTAAGGTTGACATTTGGGTCGATGTTTTTTTGAACACCGAAACCCCTTACATTCTTAGCATCGCCATTTAGAATCACAGCAAAGCATAACATGGCCTTCTGCTTCCGACTTCATAATCTTAAGCATGTATTGATCCAGTAATGCTCGGTTTTCAAAAGCCTGACATTTTTGTCCATTTCATTCTGTCTATATTACATTACTAAATGGAACATTATGTCACTAGTCCGGCAATGTTACATTAACAGACTCCTCTCAAAGACAACGTGACAAAAGGTGGACTAACACCCGCACGACTAACACCTGCACGACTAACACCCGTTCCTTCCTGGACATAGAAATCAGCTTTATTGTACTTTTTGTTGTGAAAATCCAAAGCTAGAGCCAACGTTTCGATGCTATAGTCGCATCATCCTCACGGCTAGATGAATATTTAATGGTCTTAAGGCTTGTTAATTCGTGTTGGCTGGTTGGCCCTAAAGAAAACAGAAACAACCGATGGGATCAGAAGATCTGAGAACTCAGCATTTTCACTATGCTAAGCAAATGGAGAAGTTTTTTTCAGAGAATAATTGTGAGACACATCATTTCACTATTCTTTAGAGCAGAAAACCCATCCGGAAAAACTCCAAAATTCAATAAACACGACGAGACTGATCAATTTACCGGCAGATACTACATGATCTGGAAAGGCAGAGAGGAGAGAAATAACGTCAGTCTTCAGGGAATTTAGGTCATCAACAGAAGAGGTTGGAAGCAGTGGAAAAAAAAGGTTCCTAATGGACAGACAATAATGTCCTTATTGTTGCAATTTTGCCACTGTTAGAGAAATTTCATAATTATCCTTCTGTGAACAAAATGTTAGTAACAATGGAGGATCTATGTTTATCTTTTATATGTACTTCTTATGATTTCTTGGTTAATACCCCTTGAGACACTGGGTAGTATCGGGTTCGGTGATCTCTGCACAAACGATGGTCGACGATGACAGAAATGCTGGATTTACATAGGTCTTGGGACCAATTAATACACTACACTTGAATTTAATACTTTTTATTTGCAATCATATATGTAATCTTGTCATTACTGACTTTTTAAAAATTTGGAAGTGACACTTTATCTGTGTCACTTCCCTCTTCGATTTCCCTCACCGATTTCCCTATTCGACTTCCCTCACCGATTTCCCTCACTCTAATTTATTTACCTTTGCTGGCAACAATGAAAACATGTAAGGTAAAAACGTCAAAGCAGCGAATGACACATTTTGGTATGTTTGTTTTATTTTTTTAATATTAAAAAAATTGATTGACTAATCATAATTAATGGTGTGCTTGCAAATAATAGTATATTATATACCTAGGTAGAGAAGTTGGTCATTATATACCGAAAGCTGCGCGCCTCGGTTTATAATGCGTGAGGTATATAATGACTTTCTCTACCGAGGAATATATAGAATTTTTTTTACTACTGCTAGTAGAAAATAAAAAAATTGTTTAAAATCTGTGCTCTAATTATTTTTTGTGAACGCCCTCTTGAAAGTGCTGCCCTCTATCAACAGCTTATATAACTTCCTATGTACCTACAGAAACCTGTATTTTTTTTCAATTTGACGTATGAAACTGAAATTGAACCAATAGAAACACGACAATATCCTTGCGGCATGACGTCATTTTCAGTATTGACCTAGGTATTTTTTCATTATTTTCATTATTAACCTAGGGAGAGAAATTCAATTTTTTCTTAGAAAAATAGATTGAATAATGTCTATTTCTCAGGTTAGTAGTAAAAAAAATAGTATACAAACCTTGGAGGGAAGTTTTCATTTCTGTCTCGAGATTATTAGTCAATCTCGACGCTTCGCGTCTCGATTGACTATATAAATCTCTCGACAGTAATGAAACACTTCCCTACTCGGTATGTAATATACTATTAATATCATTAAACAAAAACAACAACTTGACATTGACATTACTTTCAAATCATTTTGACAATAGTAAATTAGGTGCTTTCTTTAATCACCTCAACATAATAGGGTCTTTCAAAATCATGTTACGTTATAACTTCTCCTCCTGAACTGTGAACTCCACGAAACTTCCCGTGAGTGGAAGTGGATTTAGGTCCAAATTATGGACTGACTGGTAAAGATCGAGTTGTTACCTCGCAGGTACTTTCTATGCACTAGAGAATAGAAAGTACGTTCTAGGTAACAACCAGACACTTACCAGTTGGTCCATAATTTGGCCCTTATTGCAGTGGCGGTCCATACATGATTTTCTGGGGGGGGTAATGGATGGAAAATCATCAAGTATCGCAACATACGTACCGCCAGAGGCAACTTTTTTTTTTGGGGTGCCACGCCCAAATTTGCTCCCGTAAGTAGGGATAGCAAAAATATATCGATATTTTGTAAATATCGATATATGTATTACTGAAATATATCGATATATTTTAATCGATATCTTACATTCGATATATCGAAAAAAATATCGATATAATCTTTTCGATATCTCATGCCACTGTGTATGAAAAAAATTTAAATAGGAAAGTTGAATTGCTTGAAAAATAGTTCTCAGAAAACATAGTTTTGTTCATACAGGGTGTTACAAAAAGTTTAAAAAACAAAAAAATATATTTTTTCAAATGGGACACCCTGTATATTATGACATTTCTGGATTCTGCGGAAAATTCTAGACTATTTCATGTCATATACCTATCTTGAACTGTTTCGGAAATAATGACAGTAGAAAATTGACTCTTTTGCTACTTTGATAGGCTGTAAAACCTTACCTGTTAATTTTACAGCAAAACCGATTTTACATTCTTATCGACAGCTTTTCATAAGCCAGCATTTGACACCAACTTTGAATTTAACCGGAGATTAAATTTAATTGGAATTTTTAATCATGGATTAAATTTAAAGTTGGTGTCAAATGATATTTTACAGTCCGTCAAAGATGTAAAAAAGTCAATTTTCTACTGTCATTATTTCCGAAACAGTTGAACTTAGGTATATGACATTATACATGAAATATGTCTAGAATTTTCCGCAGAATCCAGAAATGTCATAATATACAGGGTGTCCCATTTAAAAAAAAATATTTTTTTGTTTTTTAAACTTTTTGCAACACCCTGTATAAACTATGTTGTCTGAGAACTATTTTTCAAGCACTACAACTTTCCTTTTTAATTTTTTTTATACACAGTGGCACAAAAAAGTTAAGTTGATGGGAAAATATAAAAAATGACCCTGTACGTACCAATTGAATGAGGAAAAGAGACTTTCCGCCTAATTGGGAACGTTATTTTTCTACAATCGTGCGGAATAGTAGTTTTCTGCACGCATTTTAGGGCATGAAAGTATCAGGATGACCTAACATTGCATAATTATTCTACTTTTCCATTTTCCAAACTAGTGCGGAAAAGTGATAGTTTCATGACCTAAAATGCCTGAAGAAAAAAAGCACTTTTCACACGATCGTAGAACAAAAATAAAAATAAAATATATATCGATATATTTAAAATATCGATGTTTTTCGTTCGATATATCGAATGTATCGATATGTTGTTTCGATTTATCATATTATGATTCGATATATCGATATATTTTTCTATTTTGCCATCCCTACCCGAAAGTGGTTTAAAAAACACGCTTCGGGCAAAAATATATCCCGATGCCGTCAAAATAGTTATACAGGGTGTCCACTTAGTGCGATACCGGACGATATCTTCTTACAGGGTGATGCAAGAAAAAATAAATAAAAATTCAAAGTTGTTTGATTCTCTAAGGTGCATTACTTAAAAATATTTTATACAGGGTTCTCTGTAAATGTGGTATGCGACAGAACTTTATTATT